TCTCCCATCCCCTACATGTGGGACCCTGGTGCCGAAAGCTCTCCGTCTTCGCCCGAGGCAGCTCCGGGGGCCGACCTTCGCGCGTTCCCTCCCGAGCTCTGGGCCTCTGCACTGTCTGTTCCCCTGACCCCCGACCCTCTGGCATCTTGGGTGTTCCGCTCACCGTCTAACGCGGACTAGTCGCCCACCACCTTTCCCCAATCAGCCGTCTCCCTGGGACGCATCTCGCTGTCCGGGCTGCAGGGGCTCGTTCATTTGAGGATGGGAGCACGACCTCCACTGCCCCTGTCTTAGGCGGCCCGACGGTCTCCTCACCGCTCCGCCCCCGCCCAGGCCCCTGGAGCCGCTGGGGGAGCCAGGAGGAATTTATCTTTGACTGGCGCGGGCTGGGATTTGTCCGGCTCTGATGCCAACGAGGAAGACGTGCGGATAACGAAGTAAGTGTCCCCCGCCCCTGCGCTCCGGCCAGTCCCCAGACGCCCCGGGGCAGCCTGGGAAACGGCAGGAGACCACCCTGGTCGATCGGTCCTTCTAGGCGCGTTCCCCACGGGGCATTCTGGCGCCGGGCCCTTGTCCCCTCGGCGCATCTAATTTCCAATCCAAGCCCCGCGCAGTTATGCGGCCTGCGAAAATGTTGGTCACCCAGCTCTCCTCGGACAGTCAGTGGCGGAAATTGGCTTCAGAGCTGGTGTGGGCTTCAAGTGAAAGGAACGATTCCCTCCCGCCTCCTCTCGCCCCCAGCAGAGCAAGCCCCGGGCGGGGGGTGGGGTGGGGTGGGGGAGAGGCAGGCCCGCGTGGGTTCCTAGGAGCCGTCAAAGGTTTTTGACGCTGGCCATTCCCATAGAATTTTCTCCTGTGCTTGCGGCAGTGGAGGGGAAAGGCGGCACAACTTTCCCGTGTCCTCTAAGATGCAGCGCACGGCTGGGAGGGCCTCTTGGGTGACCGGACCTGAAATCCTGGGAGCCTGGTGATAGATGCTGGGCACAGGCCACGGCGGCCCAGCAGAGAGCCAGGATCCCACGCCCAGCACCCGGCACCCTGCGCCGGGGCAGTCGGGCCTAGGCCGTCCCGCGCGGGCATCAGGGAAGGAAGGTTGGCCAGAGTTGACAGCTAGCACGGCACAAACCTCGGTGTCGAGAGACAGAAATCAAGAAATGTCATTAAAAGTGCAGGCCATAAAATAAGGGAGAAGAAAGGCCCGACGAGAGATAGACAGAAAAAGGGAGAACATGGAAATAAGAAAAAGCATATATACTTAAGCCCAGCGTATGAAGACCCGTTGATTTTTAAAATAACAAATCTCGGTGTGATTATGAAAGACAGACGACCTTTGACTAAATAACATATGAAAAAAATTGGGAGTGGGGGAGGATGGGGGGAAAAGTCTGAGTAGATTCCCGACAAAAACGTCAGTGAGAAGCAATCTGAGGTATAAAAATGTCCTCCAAAGTGAACTTTATGCTTTGAGCACTGGAGCAAACTATCATGTAATGCGCAAAAATGCGTTCGGGATCAAATTATTTTTTTTAAAAGTAATTAAAACCAATTCTTTTCTTGAGTGTGATTTTGTTTTAAAACTGTTTGGAAATAAGCCACTTGAGGAATATAAAACAAAACCAAACAAAACTTTTGAATCATCATAATTTATTTACTGTTTTAAAAAGTAGAATATCCTAGCAGGTAAAAATATTATTTAAAATTTCTTATTGTCGAAATTAAACATGCTGGAAATAATCACTTACTTCAGTTGAAATAAGGTCAATACAAAAATTGTGTAGTAAAAAGCTTATGTAATTTGAAACAGAAAAGGCCTTCATTAGAGACAAAACTCAAGAGGAGAAAGAAAAAAAAACCCATACCGGGCATATATCACAAAAATCCCTAAAATTCTTCCTTTTTAAATCGAAAGAAATTTGTAAAATTTCTGAACACAAATCTCCAAACATTCAAAATACATTTTTGGTAATAATTCATAGTATTTGCCATTTTCTTTTACGTTAAATGCAATTTAAAATTTTTGAGTTCTTTTGCCCCAAATGATAGATTTGTTCATTACCAAAAATGATCAAGAGTAAACTCCAATTAAAAGAAAAATCAATGAATTAAAAAGAGTGCAGAATCTGAAAACAAACTAGCCACAATGTACATTTAATTGTACTTAACTGTAAACTTTATTTAAATCGCCCGTCTCAGGGGTTTAATAATTTAGAATCAATAGTTCCTTTCAAAACATAATAAAATATTTACACTTTATAAAATATTAACCGATTAACAATACGGCTGTGTTGTTTATAAGAGTGTAACTGAAGTCCCCATAATCATGCTGTTGACATAAGCCTGTGAGGTTAGCGAAGTGATCCTTCGCAAAATGTAAATGAAGATCTTCAGACAGTGGTGTTTATAAAATAGCTCATTAATGACTTAAGATTGAATCGCTCCAACCATTCGCATCATCAGATATAATAATAGTGACGAATCAGACAGGAAAGATCCTGGCTAAACCATTTGCATTTTTTTCCAGAAGTACTGAAGTCCTAATATCACCAATTCTTCTAAGTTCCTGGACATTGATCCGGAGGAGGATTCTGCAGTTCAACACCAAGGTAAGGAAAGAAACAGCATTATTATCGTTGTTAAGGTATTAATAAGAAATGCGCCTTTTCCCCATTTTGAAAACGGGCTTAAACTTTTGACAATGGTAGTAGTTGGCTTTTGCAACACCCTCTTCCCATTCCGACTTGATATTACAGATTTTTAAAAAAAGTTTGTCAATCGAACTTACAGTTTGTTTCTTTGCAGCCCCAAACCTTTTAGCTAGCACCACGAAGTTGGTTTGCTAGAGCCACTTTGTTCTCACAGACTCCGAATTGTGCGTTTTCTCTAACTCGTTCTTTTGGGGAGGTGGGAGGGGGATGAGGTTGTGGAGGGCACAGGGAAAAGCAAACGCAGCCTAAAACCCCCAGGCTGGCTCCCCGAAGCTTTGCTATCCATCTCGCTTCCTTTCTCCGCTCGTCTCCCACCGCCTCTCGGGTCGCCTAGCGCTCCTTTGGTACTTGGTGGGCGGCGACTCGGTGCGGGGTCCTTCGGATTCTGGGCTCTGAGACTTAGGCCGGGGGCAGGTTTCACTTCTGGGACCCTTTCTCTTCCAGAGTCTCCCCCGCCTCTCAGTTTCCTGCTTTTGAGGGGAGGCCAGGTGCACGCCGCGCGCCGGTTAGGGCGGCGAGTGGACGGCGGCCTGGCCCCGGGTACACTGGGCTGACGCGGCTTCCCGCAGCGGGTGCACCCGACCGAGATTTCCATAATTGCCCCCCGAGCGCGTTTCCCGAGATCGAATTTAGTTTGGCCCTCTGGCGCCGCCGTAGAGTCAGCGCTTCTTAAGGGAGACCGGCGGCTCAGGCGACGAGATGGTTGGGAGTCCTCGGGGTCCCAGGGGTTAGAAGGGAGAACCAAGGTGTGCGGAAGCGACTAGAGATACCGCCAGCTCAGGAGGCTTCACTGGCCTCAAGACGGGCGGGGACGCGTCCACATTTTCCCGCTTCAGGTCGGGACCGGGAGTGTCAGCAGGCGCCCCCGGGGTCTCGCAGGGGCCGCGGCTCCTTCCCACGTGCTTTCTTTAAGGAGGTTCCGCGTCCAAGAGGGATCTTAGGGACAAAAGCGCGGCCAGAGCCCGGTCTGCTCGGCTAGCGCCCGGGCCACCTTAAATGAGCACCGCGGCCGGAGCCGGGCTACGGGCGACTGCGGCCGCGGGAGTCGGCAAAAGTTTGTGGCTCAGTTACGCCTTCTCAGGACCTGCTGGGGACGCCCCCGCACGGCCTCCCCCGGGATGGGGAGGCCGGGTCCCCACCGCACAGCTCTGACCGCGCTCTCAGCCTAGGGCCCGAGCGGCTTGGGATCCCAGGAGTCCCAGCCCAGCAGCCAGCGGACAGGGAGCCCCGCCGCCCTCGCTGCCACCGCGTCACGGCCTGCAGGCTGCCCGGGCTGCGCCGCTCGAGATGTCGTCGGCGCTGCGAGCGCTCCAGGGACGTCATCCAGGGATGCTCCCCGCCCTGCGACCCTCCTGCAGCCCCCTTCCCTGTGCCACCCGCCGCCCGGCGGGCAGTGCTGGTGCTCCTGCCATTCGGGACACCCGGGCTATTGTTCTGGACCCACGGCAGCGCCAACTGTGAGGGAGAAGCGGCCTTCCTAGCGCGTGCGGCAGCGCGGCGGGCCCGGACGGCTGGCTCCGCACGGAGGGGGAGCTCGAAGGCACCGGGAAAAGTTGTTCGGAGGGGCGGAGGCGGTGCGTGGTGGGCGGAGGCGGTGGGTGGGGGAGGTGATAGCCCTCCTATCTCCAAAGTCGAAAGTACTCCGCGTAGTTAGCAGAACCCGGAGCCGAGGCAGCCGTGGTTGCCTCCTGCGCGTGGGTCTGTGCCTCCGCCGGGAGACGAGGCAACCACCGCCTACCTTGCCGCCGCCTCCGAGCCGGGACTAGTGTGCCTCAGGGCTGGGCGAGGCGGCCGCGCCCTGGACCCGCCGCGAGGAGGAGGAGGAGGACGAGACCCCGGGCCCCAGCTCCCGCCTGTACCCGGGCGCACCCACCCACCAGCCGCGGCCACCGCCTCGCGAGGCCCTCGGTTCCCTGCCATAGGTCCCCCGCCGCGCCGCGCGCGCGCGGTCCTCGCCACACCGCTCTCCCACCGCCGACTCTCTCCTTCCTCCTTCTCCCTCCTCCCTGCTTCCCACCCGCCCCTCTCCAGTCCCTCTGCCTCCTCTGCAGCTCCGCCGCTGTTCGGTCGCCGGCCTCACAGCGATTGATTGATTGATGTTTAATTTCCTGCCAGGCGGGGCCCCCTCCCCCCGCAACCTCCCCGGCCCTCCTCCCCGCCCCCCCCCCCCCCCTCCTTCAATGCGGTGGACCAGTCTGGCTCGGGTTTAGATCTTTTCCCCCCAACCCCCATCCGAAAATAACCCAGAGACTTCCCCTACCCCCACCCCAAATTATTATTTTGAAGGCGCTAGATCTGGGGACGGACAGGGGGAGGGGGAGAAATCGGAAACCGAGGACAACCCAAAAGGACTCACTTTGCCTGATGACTCAACGCAACTAATAATCATCTCCCTCTCACTGTGTCTCTCTGCGGCTTGTCAGTGAGTCCGGCTTCGGCTGCTGGCGGCGGCGGCCGAAAGGGGAGAGGCTGGAGGTGACAGCTTGGGCGGCCGCCGCTTTTCCTCCCGCGTGCGGTCCCAGGTCCCTGCGCCTTCTCGCTTCTCGGTGGCACCGGCCCTACGGCTCCGGCCGCGCCTCCTCGCGAGCTAGCCGCCCTGCGAAGCGGCAGCCCCGGCCCGCCTCCGCCGCCTCCCAGTTTTCAGCCCTTTCTCGCCAGAACGGGTCTCCTTCCCGAAGGTGTGAAAAGGCTTTTTCAGCCTCCTTCTCTCTTCTCCCCTCCTCTGTCGCCTCCTCCCGCGCTCGCTCGGGTGTTCCTTTGGAGGAGCCCTCCTTTCCCTCTTCTCCTCCTCCCTCTACTCCCCCCACCCCCCATCATCATCATCATAACAACCATCGCCGCACTAAGAAGACACCCTGACCCAGGACCCTAAACGTTTGGACCTGGGAAAGAGGAAAGGGAAAGGAGGAAAGAGAAAGGAAGACTAGGAGAACACTGCAAGGCAAATCACCAGAAACTTTCCACCCTGGATTCTCTACTTTTGCTCCATGGACAGAGCCCCAGCCAGCCAAGTTACAGACAGACTGTGAGCAGTAAGTACTCAGCGCGAAGGCGCCCGCGCCAGGCTCCGGAGTTCGGGGAAGCCCCGGGTCCTGCTGAGTTCCCTCCCCGCAGCTCTCGCGCTGTTCGTTAGACAGCGCAGCCGAGGGAATCCGGGCGGAACCTTCGCCCTCAGCCCTGGCGCTCTGTCTCTGCATCACTCGCATCTCTTCTCACCTCTCCTCTGCCACCCCCACCTTGTCTCCTTGAGCCGTGGCCACGCGGCTTCTCCCACGGCCAGAGCGCCCGCGAGGATTCCCAGCGCACTTTGTTGTGCCGGGTTCCTCCTGCTTCTTGGGGATGTCAGTGACAATGTGAGTGCCGTTTCATCAGGTGTTTCCTTCTCCGCCGCCCCCCAAAAATCCGGGGGTGCCGAGATCTGCGGGTTCCGTGAGGAGCGCGCTGCCAGCCAGGCGACCCAGTAGAAAACTTTTTGGAGAGATTTTAAGATTGGGTTTGATGAAGGCTGCTCCCGCACTTAATAATTTAAATGCTTTTGCTTTTGTAATTTATGCGGAAGAGCTTTTTAAAAAATCACTCAGGATCGGATGAAGATTAGAACTTTCCAAAATAATAACGATTGTAGACCCCGCTTGAGGTTATTTTGATGAATACTGCCAAGTGTTTGGGGATGCTTATTAATGTGGAATCAGGGTTGATTTTGTGCAGAGTGTGTGTGTGTCCCAGGACGTGCTCGGTAAAGGTAAAAAGCGGGTATTCAAGGGTCTTTTTGGCAGGCCTTTGCCTACTGCCCCGCGATTCAGAGCGCATTCTTCTTGTGGTTAATTTGTTTTCATATGGACTTACGTACACCCGCACCCACTCCTTGAGTGAGTGAGATGTCTTCTTAGGAAGTTCACTCCTTCCGCAGCCCTGACCCCCCGACAGCAAGGTCGGCGCACTGGAGAACGGTTTATGTCAACCCTGTCCCAATGAATGGATTACTTCTGGGCGCCCTGGGCGGACTTCGTGACCCAGAGCTAACTTCTGGGAGCAGCGACTGGGCAGAATCGCGGCACCCCAAGTTCTGGGTTTCCTTTGGGCCGCCCAGTGTAAGGTTGGGACCGGCTTCCCTGTTCGGGCCCCTCGGGCAGCGTGGGAGGAAGTTTGTGTGGCTTTGGTGCCGCGCTCTGCCACTGGCCTAAACGTCTATCACGTGTGTGAGCGGTTTTCCCTCTTTTTTTTTTCCCTCCCCCTTCCCCCCCCCCGCCCCCTCCCTAGGTCCCTGTGCATTTTATTGCGACCTGCCGGTGGGAACTTTGTCTCCGAGTCGGAGCAGCATGGAGCGGCGGAGCGAGAGCCCGTGTCTGCGGGACAGCCCCGACCGGCGGAGCGGCAGCCCCGACGTCAAGGGTCCTCCCCCGGTGAAGGTGGCCCGGCTGGAGCAGAACGGCAGTCCCATGGGAGCCCGCGGGAGGCCCAACGGCGCCGTGGCCAAGGCCGTGGGAGGTAACAGCCCGGAGCAGGGAGGCGCGCGCAGCCCGCGGCCGGGTGATAAAGGCCCGGGTGTCAGGGTTCAGGTTGATTAGGCGATGTCGCGGTGTAGGATTACAGGAAGTGAATTCCAGGTTGCCAAATAATGCCCCCGTCGCCTCTCCTCTGCAACTGGTAGCTTCATCTCGAGTTAAAACAAGAAAGTGGTTTACCCGGAGGGTGGCATTTTTTGGGCACTTTGCCACTGTGTGCTGAGGTGTTGGCAGGTTTATGTCACAGCCAGCTAACTGTTTCTAGATTTTCCTAGAGAGCTTTTTAGTGATTTAACTCTTTTGCCTTGTCTCAGAGTATCTGTTGTAGGGATGAAGTTTAGGTGCGTTCGCTTTTATGGACTAATGTTTAATGCTCAGGTTAGTACAGGAGCAAGTGTTGGTGTTACTTTGTAGTTAGGACAGTGCTTCGAGACAAATGATTAACAACTGGGAATATTTCCAGCCACATTTCAAGTGGGAAATAAGGAATCACTACGAATCTGTCAGGCCCTTAGAGACTTTAATGCTACCGTTGTTTTAAAAATAAAGTTTAAAGTCATATGCATTTGTAACTTTGTTATGAATTATAGCACAACAGGTAAAAATAGCATAGTAGTCTTATTGACTGCCTGCTGTTTTTCTTTCCAAGAATTTAATATTACTTAAAATCTTTCGTAGTTTTTGCTATTTAAACAACCACTTTCTTTTGAAGTGGTTAGGGAAAGTAATTTTATAAAATAAAGATATGCAAGAAATTTAAACATTATTAAAATATTTTGAAGTTTATATGACATTTCCTTAGTTGTTTTTTAAATATAAATGTACAGTTCTACATGGCAGGCAGTTTTTTTGTGTTTGACGTAAATTACTAGTTTAATCTTTTTTTTTTTTGCTTCTAAAGGTTTTTTCCCCCCTAATATTTTCAGTAGTAGTCTGTTTAATAGAATTCTTATATTAGCCAGCCTGAAATGAAACAAAACCCTGGCAAAAGTTAGGGATAAATTCCCATGTTCTAAAGAGCCATAGTTTGTATTTCCAAGTAAAGCCTTAATTCGAAATATCCACTCCCTTTTAAAGACATTTTATAAACAGACAACAGACAATTTATAAAAGAACACGTTTTTATTTTTACTTACTTTGCTATTACTATTTCTTCATGGTAGACATTCAAGAAGGTTTGCCTTAGTTCCTTACATTAATCATCTCCCTTGAGAAGCACTCATTCTCTCAGTTTTAGAAGCTTTAACTAAATTATTTGACCATAGATTGTGGCTTATGTATCTTTCAGTTTAGGGACTTGAAGATATACTTTAATGAAGCAAAAGAAAACTTGATAGTTTTGTGACTCACTTTTTAGAAATAGTGTTTATTAATGTGTTGTCTTGAGATTGAAGCAATAACTTCGGACTTTTCGGATCATTTTTTAGTATATGCATATAAGAAAGAAAAATATATGGTGAATATGGTGGGACCCAATGTGAGATGGTTATGATAAGTGCTGGTAATGTTGGATTGAAAAACTTTTGGAAATCCTTGGAGAGGATGTGTTCTCAAAGTGGCCTTATGCATTAAAGAAAAAAACCTGGACTGAAATTTTGGTTTCTTTCTAAGCTCACTAAATTGAAAGAAGTCTCTAAACATTTTAGAATGTAATGGTTACCAATTGTGCTTCCCTACAAAAAGTTTTTTTTCCCCCTATATCTTACTGAAGGAAACTGCCTGATTTTGTTGACCTAGGGATACCCTCAGTGTAAAATAGTGGTTACTTTTCATATTTTCTGAGACTATGATTCACATTTGGCCACTTACCATAAATTTGATATAGACAAATATTATTAAGTCTTGGTGAGGAATAATAAATTTGTTTCGACAAGCTCGTATAGTCACTTTTTTCTGAGCTTTAACTTAATTTAGTAATATCAAAGGTCTTAGCTGCTTCCCAAACTGAAAATAAAGATGACATTATTTTGTCTCAGTAAGTACCATTTATGATACTTAACAGTAAAGCGGTTACAATAGTTTACCTATGGTGGATTTTTAAAGATTTTTTTATAAGAAAGATTTTACTCGATAGAACTTAATAGATTGTTTGGAAAGATTTTAATTTAGAAAGCTTTCAAATATAACAACTTAGGACGTAAAATTTTAATAGTACAAAGTTTTCTTATGAATGTTAATGATTATTTTGTGGGTTTAAGTTTATATAGTTTCCAAATGTACATTGAGATGTTAATAATTTTATTTCATTATGACTTTTAATCATGTATATAGACTGGAGAAAAGCAAAGCCATTTAAAAATGCACGTTCTAAATTTTAAAAATGTTTAAAATATATTTCTATTTAGCGGTTCTTTTATAATTGAAATAAGTTTTTTTTTAGAACATAGAATAAATATAAAATAGATTATATTTCTATCACCCTACCTCCTTTTGTTTAAATTTTCTTTATGAAGCAATATAATAAGTATAGAAAACTACAAAAATATTTGTAGCTCTGCATCATTTATTACCATTTTCAGATATATTGCGGTCTTGTCAATGTTGTAAAGATGGCTATAATCATATATATTTTAAAAATAGAGCTCAAAATTTGGGAGGATGTATTTGTCAGTCTTCAATGATTCTCTTTTTAAATGCTCTCCCTCTAAAAATAGGGGAAATCATTAAGTTAATTGGTTGCTCAATAAAATGTCAGTTTATCTTACTGCTTCTGATAAATAGGTGAATAAATGCTTCTGAATGCATTGGTTGCCCTAATAAATTCTGTTGCTGTTATTCTACCTTTTTTAGGGAGAGAGAGAGTTTGCTATGTTTTTGATGAGAACTAAAAAAAAAAGAGAGAGACATAATTTTAGTGTCTGGATTTGACTAGATGAGGTGGTAGAAACACTGTCACAGTCTTCAGGGTTCTGTTTTAATAGGGGACTTAAGAGTGTGTTGTTTACAATGTGGTTAGCTTTAGAAGAGTATTAGAAAGTAGATCAATTTTGTTTTGTATTTCTAACACTTTGTAGGCTATATTTGCTCTTATCTAAGCAGTGCGTTTTAAAGCATGTATGTAATAAAATATAAGTGCTCATATGTGTATGACAGTCAGCTTTTATAGAAGGTCCTGGAAAAAAAAAAGGCTAATATCTCTTTAAAAAACATATGAAGGCTGGGAGAGAGTTTAGAGCAAGCAAGAGCACCATGGTGTTGACAGCTTTATATCCCTGCTGGGTAACATTCACTTACTAGAATTGGCGTCCTCTCTCAGCTAGTAATTCACTCCATAAGGATTTTGAAAAAGGATGATTAATGGTGGGAAAATTTATATTTGTGAAATTGTTGATTAAAACTTACAGATCTATTTGAAGATTTAGAAAAAGAAAAGATTATTAAGGATGATGAATATAAGAATCAGATGATCCTTTTACCACCATTAGCATAAGTACCTAAAATGTTCTGCTGTATGTAATGCTTCAGCCACACAACCTACAGCATAAAATGAAAGTGATGCCAATCAAGTTTCCAGAGGAAGCAAGGCATTCTGCTTTCCTCCTGGACTGCTGAAAGGCGCTGGCCAGTTGTGCTTTAATAGCAATAAATTACTGTGCTTCATTCATTGTTAACACAAGCATTTTCATTTTTTAATGTTTGGCTTAAAGAAGAACTTTTCAGACAGCTTTATTTAAACTGAATGAACAGCGCTTGAGTATACCAGATGGTGTATTTGCTGATAGGAGGCATTAAACATCAGAAATCTTTTTGATATTTTTCATTTTCTTATGAATTTTGATGACTTTTTTGTGTGTTAAATCTTCTAGAGTTCAAGGAAAAATGTTTAAACACTGAGAATATCTTGATTTTTTTGAAAAAAAATAGCTTTTTGGGGAAAAATTAGTTTTTAAAATAACTTTAATTTTGTTGAAGAATTGTCTGTTGAAGTTATCTTGTAACTCTTTGACCCGAAGTAAACCTATTCTTCTTGCTACCAGGCAGCCCTTTCAAGAACATAACTGTCTTGTTGCAAGGGGAAAAAATATCATTATGCAATACACACTGATGTACTCAAATAGGGAAGCAAATGTGATCATGATTGTTGCGCAGGGCCTCATTTAGAGCTGAACACTGTCTACAACAACAGTTAGTTTAATTGTCTGCATGTGGAACATTTCCTTTTAGATAAGAGTAAAAGAAATGCAGTTCAGGTCAGGTGTAGTCACCATATGAGCAGTTGTAGAGAGATATTTTGCTTTTTGAAAGGAGGGCAGATATGAAAGAGTATAGATATTGACCTATTGAAATGTATAAAATATTTAGAAATTTGAAACGTATTGTCAACATAGGCAAAATGGAGAAAACTCATTAAATTCATTTTAACCTAGGATGTTATACCATTATGCTTGTAGGGAAGACTCGTTATTACTTTAAAAGTGAAAAGGTTGTATTTCGGTCTTGTACTCCACTTTTTTTTTTTTTTTTTTTAAGGGTTTAATATCTTTTAAATAGAATGAACTTAGGCTTTGGGGTCATCCAACAATCTAGCATGTCCTCTGTAGTTTTGCTGAGGTAGAAAAATAGCCCTCTCTAAAGTGTTTTCAGTCCTTGGCCTGTTATTAAAATAAAGATATACTTGGTTAAAAAAATATATGCAATGGAACATACACATTAAACAGAACATAGGGTATCCGCCCCTCAAAGTCTTGAGCATAATTTGATGTTTTGAGTAATTTTGGAAGCCTTATATTCCATCAGTAGAAACCCCACTGACCATTATATATTCAAGATCATCTGCAGTGAAATGTGTGTGTGTGTGTGTGAGTGTGTGTGTGTGTTGGAACTGCATAGATGTCCCTTAAGGCATCTGTTTTCTAACCACTGCAGACAATAAGCAGTATCCTCTTTTTTCAGGGGGTTGTGACTAAGAGTGTCAATCTGTACATATTAGATATCCTGTGTTAATTCTTTTCTCCTTGTGTGAATGTGTGTATATATTTTGCC